CCCACCCTGGAAAAGTCAAAGACATGCAGCCAGGCTGTCTGTCTCCCTCAACTCTGTCATCAGCCTTACCTCTTGATCTTTCCGCTCTGACAGTATGTGGTCCAATATCAAAACATGAGGACGGTCGGGATAGGAGCAAGACATTGCGAAAGTATTTACCCTAACTGAATGAATGAAGCTCGTCTTTCAAGCGCCATATTTCCTTAGACAAAAGCACTCATTTAGCAGTGACTGGTAAAGAGCTGTCGTCTCTCTACTGTCAATGTTTATCAAATGACCTCAGAATCACTTTTTCTTGGTCTTGGAAACAAGTGGATGGGACATTTGACTCAAGGCTTGGTCCGACAAAACTTCGACCCGCCCCAAAAGACATAAAAACAGCTCTGCTTTATTGTCATTTCAAGAATTTTTCTGAAACCATGTGACATAAAAAGGGCGATTCCTCCTCCAGTATGAAGAAGATGCCACTTAATTCAAGTCACATTGGAAACAAGAAAATTAAATTGCTTGGCACAATGTCTCTAGTGTCCTGATATACAGTACTGCTGGTTTATGGTATAAATGGAAAATGTTAATACAGAAGCATTTTCTTTCTGCAAACAAGGCCACATCATACAAACAGTGTGTGACATTGTTTATATACTGTAACATAGTAATGTGTAACAAAACAGAATTCATTGCACGCAGAGAAACCACTCTGCTCGGTATTTTGGTGAATGTTTGGTTTTAGTCACTGGAAATGGAGGTATGATCGGCCGGTCACCCTGCCTCTCTGCTTTATCCTGGCTCAGTGTGCTGGAAAGTCTGAATGCTTCAGACTAGCTTAAACAAACAAATAAGCCCAGAGGGAAAATATGAGAAATACAGGCAAACATCAGCACCTTGGCTTTGAGAAATGAGCACCGATCGCTGCCTTGAAAGATGCTTGTTTTGTGCTGAGACAGCAGCAGCTACATGATCTATGATTAATGTTGTCGTGCCACGTCTGTTTTCATCTTGTGAAGCTTTTCGATCGTAAGTGCTGATTAATTTTCTGTAGTTCTCAGAGTGGGCAGTAATTTCTTACAGTCACATTTTGTTTGCCCGGCGTTTGAGATATTTATCTCTGAAATTGTTCACCAATTTAAATACATCTGTATTTGTGCACACTGAAGGCTGTTGCCCTGGTTGGAAAAACAACTGAGCCAATAAAAGATTTGTAGGCGGGATTAAGAATGTGGACGCCACCTCAGAAAAGTGGCATCATAAACCGCAACAAGAAGGCCCATGTAAGAGATCGACATAGCTTTGTGCTGTACCGTGTTGTAGGATTAAAATGTTAGTCAAGTGAAATAAAATAGAAATTCAGTCTGATTACCAAACAAGTTTTTTTTGGTAGAACATAATTTCAGTGAAAACATTAACATCAATATGGAGATGTGATTGAGTCCACCTGATGAATAGAAGTTTAATATTCACTTCTCTTTTAGCTCTGTTTTTGGTCTCCGCCAACTCCTGAGAAAAATATCAA